TAAAGTTTAACTAAAGTTTAAGTTTTATCAACTAATTCACTAACTTAACTAATTTAGTTTAGTAAACTGACAAACAAACAAACTACTGTAAATGTCGGTTATTCAACTAAAATTGCCCGAGAATACGCATACGCCACATCTTCTTCGCAGCTCGCTTTCATTACAACTTAGGAATATAACGTATACTTCGGTCTTCACTAGAAGATTTCCGCTACATTGTGTGATCCTTTACCAAAGCTAAAAGCGGATTAACATCAATTATTATTATCTTATTTCATAAATGGTGACGTGGTATCACCGTCATATTCTGCATTGCATTTATTGTTCACCACGAATGAATGTGTTTTTGCTTGTCTTTGCTAATAAATTGAGCATTAGAGTGTGTGTTTGTAGCAAAAGCAAGTGCGATTATTGGCGCAATGGCAGCCCCTGTCAGGTCCGTATAGTGCTGTAGATAGCGGCGCGGTGGCTCAATTCTGCCGGATAAGCGGCGGAATGCATATTAGTCGTCCGCTAAAGGTACTCCGCTCTCCCGCTTTATTTTCTAGCGGGAAGGGGGAGTGCCTTTAGAGGACGGAAGGCGAGAGCACGATCGCTCGCTCGGTGAAAGCACTGCGCTCGCCCGAATTATTGTCTGAGTAAGAATAGGAACAAAGCGACGTTTTTAAAACATGGCTATCATAAACATAAACATTACTTACCATTTATTATCGTTTTATTTGAAGCGCTTCTTCTACCATTAGTTATCGCTTACTATATGCCTGTTTGCCTGCTTGGCGCAGGCGATACCACCTTTACTTTTTCCCAGCAAAAAAAGTCCAGCATGCTTCCACGACTTCTGTGCTGGTACCCGCGATCGAGCACGGCTAAAACACAAGTTCTCTGGCGAGAAAATCAAACCAGTCTCCGGCATAGTCTCTCTGGGACTTCCAATCCCAGCTAAATCGACTGTCTGGGAATGACTATAGCTCTAGTCTACTCTAGCGAGCGCGACTGGCTTTCGTTGGCACTGAAAACCCCATACACGCTAATGCTATATATGTCCCAAAAGCCAGTTCGACAGCCGCAGCGTCATTTGAAAACTTTACAAAAAACATTTGGATATTGGAAAAGACATACTTATTTTGTGCTTGCCGCACGCTTGGAATTCATCACCACAAATGAGCCCAAAAAACATCCAGAAAATAAAAGTTGCCGAACTGCATTCAAATCGTTGCGCGCAGAGAGCAAGACTATGATGGTTGCAGCCAGAATTCCTAACAAATGGCTCTTATATGAGACCATTCCTTACCGTTGCTGCCACACTATTTTTCGCTACAGAAACAAGATCGTAGCAGTTCTGGACAAAACGTTAATGGGTGTTCTGTCTATAGCACTGACAATGAGACGCCTATCTGCTAAAGCTGACAGTCTGTGTCAATCGCGTGTTTCCCTTTCCATCAGCGTAATCGCCAGTCAGAGCTTCGCGCCACGGTCGCGCGCGTATGGCTTGGCTCAAATTGGTTTCATCGACTGAAGTTACGCATGCAAGAGTTGCGGATGGGCACTTCACACGCAAATGGGAGCATATGAACATTCATTTGTTCCAATCATCACTGCATGCGGCGTCTTGTGCTAAACACCGGGAATACGTGTCAGGAGTCACGACTTCGCGACGCCGCGCGCGAGTCAACAGTAAGGGATCCATCATACCCCGTCGCCGCGTGTTTTTTAATTGCTACGATTGTCCACTAGCGCTACTCTGTAAGCAAGATTTGGCATGTACGCATAAACTTACAGAAGCTATGCGCCTATGCATTTGAATTCTACACGCGATAGATTTGCGGACATCTAGCGAATCCAAATCGCGTATCGCCGCGAATCTGAAGAAATCGCGCGAGGTATATTCGAGGCGTTAAGACTTAGCTTCCGTGTAAACCAGATGCAGTGTAATTATGGCAGTGAGTCATGTACCTGCCCCTCCCCCCTCCCACTCCCTTAATGTGGCGCCGTGCCACCTTAGCATCGGAGAGCTTTCGTGAGGAACAAAATGTGGGCGCGGTGTGACTTCTAAATCGTAAACGCCGGTGCCCTTTCAGATGCTCGATGTGTGCTCCCAGTGCGTTGTAGTGCGCGCCGTTTAACCGAAAAATGTGCGCACCGCCACACGGCCAGTGCATACAGTTGTGACAGTGGAGTGTGAAAAATTTTGGCGAGTTCGCCGAATTCGCCGATGTCGCAGATGTCGCCGACTTTGCGTCTTTTCGTCATAACTTCCTTCGTTCTCAATGGATTTCAAATTTGAGGGCAGATTTGGATTCAGCTCGCCGAGACGAATCTTTTCATATATTGAACTGCTGTAATTGGCTCGGTCACGGTAAGTGCATGGTAGGAATCCGTTGCATCCTGTGGTGGTGTTTCCTAGAGTGTGTATTTCGGCGCATAATGTAGGCAAAGGTTTAAGAAAAAGAGCGTTTGATGGAAGAGTTTCTGCTGAGTGTTTCCAGCAGAAAACCATATCCTTTTTTGTAGTGTAAAAAAGAGAAAGGAGTACGTGAACTTAGTAAATATACATGAACCACTTACCGTCAAACAAACATAACTATACAGTAACACTTTGATTAGCAAAACAATTATAATCTTTGTAATCAGCATGTCTTGTTGCTTATGTGAGCAAAGTGACACACCGCATGACTAGGATATTCTGCTTCCAGCAAAACTTCACTTTTTTTCTGCAGACGCCCTCTTTGCAACGCTGTGGGCCAGCCCCTTTCACACTTAAAAGGTTCCTGTAAAGCGAGTCGGAAAGAGTTATTTCCGTAGATAATCCAGCGGTGAAAAGTAGACGGAGACATGCTTTATAAAGCGCGAAAAGAGATGGTGAATTCTGCAAAAATCACGCGCCTTTAAATTCTACTCGCCATAACTTCCTCCAGAATAAGTATATTCTGAGTCCGAAAACGGTGCAGTGCTCAGCTCATCAAGGCGAATCTTCACATATACAGCATGTCCTTGATATTTCGATTTCAGTATTCTTGAATCTTTCTGAGGACGTCTTTTCGCGAAGGTGTAAAGCAGCGAGCATTGTCCCGAGTAAATTCGAGCAGGGACCTTTTGATAGTACTTTTTCTGTAGATTGTGAAGCGCTAAACAGTAGCCGCAATTTTCTTTTCAAAGGAAAAATATGGGCTGGTGAATTGTGGAAAAATCTTCTCGTCTTCAAATTCTACTCGCCATAGCCATAGAATATGATGCTCTCTTGCTAAGCAGATGTGATTATCGTAATCAGCAGGTCGGATAACCACTATGAGCAAGTTTTCCGAGATTTTTGGGTTATTTCATTTTTTCTCGTTTTACGCTCTGGAAGCTCGCCGATGGATTTTAGTACTCTGCGTTGATACCACTGCTT